AAGATACAAACAATGAATATCCCTGGCTTGAAGAATGGAAGATAACGGGCTCCCCCTCCCTTAAATCCCCCCATGTGTCAAAATATGCATTTTATTTGGCGTTGGCCCACCGCTGAGAGGAACACAATTGAATTTTGATAATTAATGAAAAACTGGAAGTGCCATTTAGATCTCCTAAACAAGCAAACCGATGTGTGCAGTGACTTGGTAGTCTGTTTGTGTTTCATCCCTGAGCTGTAAACACAGACGACAGAAACGGTGAAATAAAAAGTAATGCATTAATTCTGTAGCGTATTCTTATTTTTAACCAAACTCATGCATATATATATATATATATATCCCATCTGAAGGAAATAACGTATCGTTTTCAGGGGGTGATTTATTTAAGTGCAAAAAAAGTATTAGAGAATTCAGTACAAATGATTTATATAAGTGCAAAAAAATGTATCTGAGAATGCAATACAAATGAGCTCATTTGTAGGCCAGAATGTAAATTAGCTCAAAAACTCGTGGAAAAAAAAACACTAACAACTGCAATAATGCGAGAAAGAACGTAATGATGGAAATACAATTTCTCTGAGTCTCCAGAGACTTATCGGGGGGTTTAATTTACGAAGCCATTTACAAGACAACGAATAATAATTGCATAAACAGTATGCCACATTCAATTTGAGGAAATTTCTTAAACAAATTCAATGTTTAGCTCTGGAATTTCGAAGTATTGTTGAAATTTTATGCTGAATTGTTCCGAGAAAATTCTTCTGGAGATAAGAAACGAACGTCAGGATCACCAGAAGACTGACCATTAACGTAGCACCGGTCAGTTCAGCTGGTAATTGAGTGGTGGCTTACTTCGTTCTCCTTCTCTTCTTTTTCCTCTTCCTCATTTTCTACATCATCCCAGGATTTGAGCGTTCTAGCTTCTAAAATTCCCGAGTTATGAACTCACCGGAAAAGAATTTTGCGGGCCCGTGCGTGGCTAGCGGCTAGCGTACGGGCCCGCAAAATTCTTTTTCGATGAGTTCATAACTCGGGAATTTGAGAAGCTAGTGAGTTCACAACTTTGAATTACAAATGATATCCTTAAAAAGTCCCACAAATTTTGGACGTGCCACAGAAGTCATCTTGATTGTAGGATCCCCGCTTTCATTCGTCGCACAAATTCAACGGAATGCCAAAGAAGAAGAGGCATGGAACGAAACAAACCTCTTTGTCAAGCGATGCTTCCATATGCAGCAA